AAAGCTTGAGGTCAGTCTAGGCACTCTCCCACCATTTGCAGAACTGTACCTCCCCTAAGTGAAAAATAAGCTCTTCTACTAAAGATTTCATGCTTGGTCCTCAGGCTCAGTTTTCCAAAGAAAAGTTAATTCTYTCACCATATTATATGATTGTTAATGACCTTTTTTTCTCCTTTCTTTCCCATTTACACCTCCATTTTTATCTTATAGCTGATGAATAATTAGGGAATCTAACTGCATTATTAATTATATGTTAGCATTTAAGTACTTGCATCATATATAATAATGAGTGACTTGTCGAGGCCTTTAAAGTATAATTAGCTTATACTCAGAAGATAAACCATWTTTTCCACTGTCTACTCTGAAAGGAAAACATACATACAACCAACCGCCCTTTCCACTCAGACATATTCCATAACTATGTCCCAGTGCACACGCAACACATGGTGCCAAGCGTTATAAAACTGCACCTGTTTGAATCACATTCATTAGTCTTAAGTACTGCAGAGGCTTTAAATCAAAATCTGTCAAAACACAAGTAAAAATAATACTTGCTCCATATTATGCATAGAAAAAAATGAAACTGGCAGAGTACTTCTGCACATGTACCATGTAAAGTGAAAGATCATACCTAGACATAAATAAAAGGTACAGAAGCCCTACAGTGACATTTCAGTAAGACAGAAGAGCAGAGGTGATGCAGAATTTTGCATAGCCAGACAGTCTGTGTTGCCTTGGGCTCTCACACACTGATGGTGCCAAGCCRCACGCCAGGCGCTCCACACTGCATACCCAGACCGATAGGCAGAGCCCAGCTCCTAACTTCTCATGTTCATGAATAACTGTAGTTTAACCTCAGTTAAACTAGCTTAAGTATGTAACATCACTTACTCAAAGTACAGAATCAAGCAGTGTCTGTGCCCCTGTGGTTGTGTAACACATGATGAACAGGAGGAGAAGCATTTTCCTCTGGAGAAATGGCACAGGAATAAAAACAAGCTTTAGCCTTTACCAGGCACATTAAGACATATTACCTGAACCTTTAATATATATAAAGAGTAATAGCAAGTCTGATTCCATTTGGATTTTTGAATTGTTATTCCTTTTCTATGTTTCTATTTCAGAAAAGCCTAAAACTAAGAGTGATGGTATGAAATAATGTTAAGAGCTTATCTGTTTTGGAAAGTCCTTTTAGAGCACTAGAGCCAAGAATTTTTTCATCACCCTTCTATAGATATTTCRACACAGACTTTACCAGGTATTTTTAAAAAATGAGCATATTTAAATATATCTACAAAAATGTTATTTTATATTCAAAAATTCCTAACAAAGCATCTGTGTCCACAGCCATCCAAGAACTACTCAGAAGTAAACTAGTTGTAATTCTCATTCTTTTCAAAGTAAGTCTTTCCTTGTGCTTATACAAAGCCTGGAAGCAGGCAGTGGGTTGATAGTGAGGCTTGGTGAAGACAATCTGGAAAAAATCTTTGTTCCTTTGTGATGCAATCCACAGTCCCAGCATACCAGCCAAGGGAGAATAAACAATACAGATGCACTAACATGCATCAAAATTGACAGTTTAGTCCTCTTATTCTGTTTTCAATTAAAGGACTTTACATCTATAACAGATGTATCTTCAATTTAGTGGGAGTGTGTTTATTAGGTCAAAGATGCATTTGTAGGAATTTGATTAAAAACCATTTGCTGCATGTCACTATATTAAAAAGTTGCTTATGCATTAGTCAKGGTTGCTCTCCCATGACACAAATTTCTTCAGAAAACTTAATAGCTACATGAGCAGAGATTATATAGTATTTATCTATGGAGTAGTCAAAATGTGCTCAGCTCTAGTATTTTACTTGAGCATCTCTCTTCCAATATCTTTACAAATGTAATAATTATTTGCCAAAATGTAGAAAAGCAAAAGACTAATAAGTGTTCCTTATTCTAGATAATTAATCACTAAGCTGCAAAAATGGTGGGAAGGATGGGCCAGTTCCCAGAACTGTGGACTTCTCAGGAAACTGTTCCCCTTGGCAAATCATTTCAGTGCCTCTGCTGAGAGCCTGGTTGCAAAACTGCTTCCCCAACCCATTTTATACTTTCTTGTTATTGCTGCATAGTAAGATTTCATGCAAAAACAGCTGCTAGTAGTTTGTTCCAAGAAAGTTGATAAAGAAACCTTAACTTGGGTGCTTGCATATAATTCAAATTTCATTATTTAAAGCTATTCCAAAGTAAGCTTAAAATGAGAGCTACTGTGCTGTATAATGACTTTTGAGGAAGYGACAATCTTTGTAAAAATCTTTCCCAAGTACTTGACATGAGTATTGAATTTTGAGTTAAAAATTGACAAAGATTACAGTGGACAGGACAGTGCCCATTGAGTACTGAGATAAAAGAAAACCATATACAGCATTTACACTGAAAGCTCAGTAGATTATATTATGGAAAGACAATTGTTCATGGCTAAAAGTATGGAAAAGGAAGGGAGGAACATTTATTTTAAATAAAGGGATGAAAATGCTTTAAATAGATCACGTATCTGATTTAAGATAAATATCAATCCTTATATAAGTTTTTGAAGACAAAAGTCAGTCTTGCAAAATAAGAAACTGACACCTGTTTTTCAAATTCTAAGCAGTCTTCTAGACTAGAATTAAGTGCACTATCTTCATTTTTACAGTGCTTTATGAATCAATGTCCTCTATAGAATTATATTTACTGGTCTGACATAACACTTGTTTCTAGAGCAGTTGTGAAAAAAGCTAATCGACTATAACATAGTCTCAAAGTTGGACATTTTAAGTGGGACATTTTTCATATTGCAGGAGATATGTTTCCATAGTAACAACATAGCTTTGACAATACTAGTCTGAGAACACGTTCCTTGCAGATTGTTTTTAGAAGCAAATGTTATGGAATATTCTGATTTGTATCTGGTCAGACAGTGGTGGGAAAAACAGTTAAATGCAGAATTTACACAMGGGATATGCTCCTGCAACTTGTAATGCCAGTAGACTAATTTCTAGAAATGTAGTTTCTTCTCTAGTACTTCACTCTGCCCTTAAGGGCACAAATATGGTGGGATGTATAACTTCTGCCTATGCCCCTATGATTTAAAATATTATTACACTACCCAAACCTTAAATCTAATCTGCRCAATCATCCCTATTGTAAGTCCCAGTCACCTCAATATTAGTTCACACATCATAACTAAAACCAGAAAAGGCAATGGTGCTATCAGCCCAAAAACATTTGCCATTGTTGCCTTTGGCCTATATAACTTAAGACTGATTTCTGCTTGAGTCTTGTGCATCCATTTTATGCAGAGAATAAAACAGGATTTTCCTATATAGCTTCAGAATCCCCCATTTTCTAAACTGTCAGCTAAGTGGCTTTTATTAGCATTTTATCACTGCATTTTATTTAGACACTTCCAAATTTTCTAAAAGCCCATATAGATTAAATACAACTGATATTGTCTTCATATCATTCTCACCATTGTTGAGAATTACATGACTGATTAACATTGCAAGTTTCATAAAAACAAACATTTACCACATTTTCACACTAGGTAACTATTTCACCTTAAGTAAAACCAAAACCGCTAAGTTCATGCTGAGTGCTCTTCTCCTTTCTAAACTGCCGCAAAATCCACCTAACAAGAATTTCAACTGCTTGAACAGAGAAGTGACTCAGAACATCAAAAGGCACATAAAGAATCTCAAACTACRTGTCATTGTAGAACAACTTGACATAACCAGATACCTGAAAATAATGTCCACAAATAGATGATTTGATTGTTGGAAATCTCATATTACATTGGGCCTATGCTAAGCCACACCAAGTTCATTTACTTCAAAGTGGGYCTTGATTGTCAGCAAGATAAACACTTAGAGCTTCCTTAAAAAATAAAACCCTCCTGGTTAAGTGCCAAAGAAATCTCAATAGATCTGCACCACTCAAAGTATTTTTATGTTGATTTTTTAAATCATTCTAAATGTCTCCAGAAGTATTTTAGTCTGTACAACCTGGCACTATAATCAGGCAAAGTAATTAGGTTTCTTCATCCATAAAATGTCAGYTCTTTTTGGATATTCACTAAAACCTAATATTGTCAATCTCAAATATCAGGATTGCTATTAGAAGACAGTACTATGAATACACCAAACTATGCAACACTTCTGTCCCAACACAGGTTATATAATTTTAGTTAGAARCAACTAAGGATATTCATATACACAACAGTAATTTGCCCACATTTTGCAAAGAGGTATAGGAAAAAAGTTACATGCAAGTTTTCACATAAAAAGTTGGTTTCATACATGAGTATAAAACACTTGCTTATTCCGTCCTACAGTAGAGAGAACAAAGCTCTATCATTACTTCAGGAACTTGGTCTTCAAGAGATATCATTCCTGCATTTCTGACATGGTAAATATAATAGGGATATTTAAGGAAATTATTGGCTGAACACTGCCTTTAGGAAAAATAGGATTGCAAGCTGCTATCAAAAATACATATGCCACTACAGGTGCATAGGTATTTAGATGTCATACACAACACTTCTTTTTATCTCTGGAAACTGCATTGCTCCTGTAAGTGCATGCTCCGTTTTCACCTATCTTTAGCAGAACAGTGAGTATTGATCACATGAAACATTGGCTTAGATCAGCTTGATATTTTTTCCCCAGAAGCACTCCTTCCCTTTCTTCTGTCAAGTATCTGTTTGACCTCTGAAGACCTTTCTCTCAAAGGAAGTGCTACCTTTCATGAGGCCTTGCTCACCAGCAGCTGGATTCAAAGCACACAGTGCTCACTAACATAGTGGAACATACAAAGCTACATATGACCCCAGCATTATGCTGATACTTGTATTTACAAATAAAAATAGCTAGAAACACTGAATGCTATGTTTGCTTCAAGTAGCACACACCACTAACTCGCGCTGAAGAAAAAATTTAACTTAGGTCTTTTCCACAATTTTATTTGTTCAAAGCTCAGAAGAAAATCATGTAATCTTAAAATACAACCCTTGAAGAGTTTTTCATAGAATTATAAATAGAATATACCTCAGATGTAGACTTTGGGGCAAGATTTGGGCTTAAAATTCTCTGTAGAAATACACTGACATTTTATATAAGCATCAATTCTTCAAAAATATTCAGTTGTCACTACATAACAGAGTATAACATGAATTAAATATGTTAGAGGTAGGATTTGTTCATATACATAGTGGATGCTCTCTGAAACAGCAGACCTGGAAGACTCCTTATCTTTCCAAGCCATAGATAATTTGGTGTCATTTAAATATTTTCTGCATCAACACAAGAAAAGGAAAAATCTGAGTATCTCCATACACTGCAGTCTGCAGCTCAGGCAGTCTTTCCTGTCACTTCACTCCTGAAGACCTATTGCAAGGCACATCTCCTTTCAGTTATTCTTTCTTTATAGTATATTTGAATCTGGAATTCAGAGAAAAGCTTTTAATTCCAAACACTGATTAGTAATTATGATCTAATTTGAGAGCTACTAAACTAATATAATGCCAAGCAACTGATATCTGAATTAGGCCTTAAAGGAAAAATAAATCTTAAATATATCTGCCTATAGGCTGATAACACAGATCAACTTGAATTCCTATTTATATATTCATAAAACCAAACTTTTTTTTTCATCAGACTTGAAGAAACTGATCAAACAAAGGATAAGTCATGCTTTACTAGAAGATAGCAGGTGCTTACTACAAAGCAACATCCAAACTTAAGTAAATTTCAGCACATTTTAAACAAGAAAATACRTGAATGACATTCAGTTAAGCTGTTATACCTTTTTGCTCTTTGTACCACTTCAGAACAATCAAAGGGTGAATGCACTTACAGTGCAATTTTCTTTTAAGTACAATACTGTAATATCAGAAAGTCACTTCTTTTAAATTATTTTCTGTAATCCATGTAAGACTTATTTATCATGCTAAGCAAACTGAATACTCCTGGCTTTTTTTTTTTTTTGCCAGTTTTAAACAATGCCAATGTTGACAGGATTTAAGGTTTAAAATGAGGTGTTTATTTTCCAAGTATACTTAGCTTATTGCACTAGTTCACTGGATATTAACCTTGGATTCTAAGTTTCAACTCCTTTATATCCTTTCCCACACACATTTGCATGGAATCATTTCTGCTTAGTCCCTGCAGTTTAACAGATTGGAATAGTCATGTGTGGATTCATCTAGCTACAGCCTTACCTGGCTTCAAATGCGCAAGAAATGGGAAATAGAGCATCAAGGTCTACAGCCTGCAGTGTGCTAAAGTTCAGGCTGGGAGTCCTTCCCATTCAGCCCAAATAGGAGAAATGCAACTGACTTCATGTTAACAAACTAGCACATTTGCCTTAACATATAGGCACCTGGGTCTCTTTTCTAACTTGGACCATGCATGCCTTTTGTGAAGAGATTTTATCCATCCTATGCTACCTGTCACAGTAGACAACAAATTCACTATCTTTCTGAAGAGGTAGGGTTTTTTTTTTTGTTTAACTGTAAGCTGTCATAGCCATGTCTGCCTCACACAGGTGCAGTACATGACATCTAAGGTAGCAATCAGCCAATTCTGAACTTTGGTTTATATAGAAGCAGCTGTAGCAGTAAGAGCTGAAATGAGACTGGTTCTCACACTGAGGAATTTGTTTCTTTATTCTTTTTAAAATGTTCTTGCCTATTTGGTTGTTCCCATCTTGGTAGTAACAGGGTTGACATGATGTAGTACTCATGTGAGAATGATTTTTCACGCTAAATCATTCTTGCACTCCTCTGGGTCTCCCTTTTTAGCTAGCACTTTATCAGGTCTTRCAGCTATTGGATTTCTTTTTCTTTCTTTCTAAGTGAATTTTATACTTGGGAAAGGTGCTAGGTTGACAGCCCTTCAGATTCAAGTCCTCTGCTTATCCAAGGAGCAATTTACTTCAAACTACAGTTAGAGGCATAACCCAAAAGCTTGAAAAGGGAGTGTTAACTCTTGCCCACTGTTTATGGATGTGGGACCATTCTAGCACAAGGACATTGCTAGTTTACATGGCTTGCAGAGAAGCCACTCACAATGACATTTTGTCACAAAGAATGCTGAATTTAAACAGAACCTCTCTTSTTAAAGGATCACAAATGGAAGGTTCCACTTGGATCCTGGAGCTGCCCTTATCRCTCATGTCTACGTTTGTTCATCTGWGAATGTCTTCCTGTGTCTTATCAGTCCTCCTTAACTTCTTATTCCAAAAAGTTGCTTCTTAAGTTTTCCTTTTGTAAATATATCAGGAGCTTGATTAGTTCTATTGGAGTGCTTCTTCCTCTGCTCCCCTAAAAACGGATACAAAGCAAAAGGCATTTCACTGAAAYGTCAACAGGAAACAGCATAACTTGATGCTGTTTCAGCTAACATCCACAMGGACCAATTAATTTATTTCACTATCTCATAACCAGCTTCCTAAAGCCAAATTCATCTTTATAATGCATTGCAAGCCTATCTCAATGTATTTCGTCCAGGGCTTCAGGAGTGACCTGAAAGGAGCTGCATGCAAATACTTCTATTTTATTCATCAGAAAGATTAGCACTTCTGGGAAATTAAAGCTGTTTAGGAATAATATACTGTACTAAAAAATTGCACACATATTGTATTTATGTATAAAGGTCCAAATTGCATATATAGACTCCTTTTACCACAATTGTGTGTTAAGTGTATAAGTGCCCTGACTTCCTGGTTTTGCAAAGTTCATATTCATGGCTACAGTTAGACAGTTTCCCATTCAGCCCCTCCTCTTGCTATGATGCAGATCTCACTTTTATGTTGATGAATTTATTGATGCATGAAACTTAAAAAAAAAATCTCAATGTGTCAGTGCCTATTGCACAATGGCCTAAATCTCAGTATTTTCAAGATGATCAAAACAACACTAYAGCCTCGTCCACTTAACCACTGAGCATTGTATCGAGCACAATAAATTCAGTCTCCTCAGGACCACATACCAAGGTTAGCATTCAAAACAGAATTGTGAATATAGTATAAATATCAGTACAATATCATAATCAGTTTATTTCCAAATAAAAATATCCACAGCGCTTAACCACAGCTTTGGAAAGGTATTCAGAAAATTGCATGTCAAAATGATAAATCTGTCAATTTGTAAAACTGCTTATTGTTATGTGCCTGACAGTGACAAAATAAGGAAAAACTCATCCTGGAAAAGCTTGGATACAAGAGACCTATCACACYTGATCTTAATTTACTTTTGCAAGCAATTGACTATGTTTATTTCTACTGGTCTCTTAACCAAAGAAGAAAAAAACACAATTTCCTGCATGAAAAGCTACTTACTATTACAATAAATAGGGCAATATTATTTTCAGAGTAATTTAATTAGTGTAGGACTGTTTAATATTCTAACATTAGTGCTTGGCTCTCTGCCATGTCAAATAACCTTCCCACCCTCATCCCACTCATCCTCACAAAATCCTAATCTTCAGCTAAAGAAATAGCTGAGACTGGACAGCTGCTTTCACTCATGTCATAAGACTGGTGAGAGAAAAACAGGATTTCTTAAATATCATTTGGATTCTCTGCAGATACGGTGAGAACACTTAATTAAATCCTTTGACTTCAAGCAAGTTGAAATATATCTTGGAGAATGGCCATTAAGACTAGATAAAGTTTAATATTTCCATGAAATTTAACAGACTTCTAGCAGAAGCATGCAAAGGGCCAGCAGCCAAAGCTTATAGACTCAACTCTGCAACAAGAATTACTCCCATCCAATGAGAAATGGCCTCTAAGTTACATCTCCAGAGAAGTTGGTTGGCTCACTCAGGTTAGTGACACCATTTTGAAATGCTGTCATCCCAATTCATATTCTAGAGCACCAATAAGTCTGTGAAGCTGCAATAACTTTGATGATTTTATGAAAATTTAAGTAATTTGAATCTAATGTTATCAGTAAAAACCCTAAGATATTTTTTTAAAAAAATCAAAGTTTGCCATTAAGTCTTTAAACATGTTTGCTTTTTTAAAAGTAAATCTGTACTGCTACAATTTAACCTTATATTTTACAATTCAGTACAATACTCATTTTTTAGCTGAAAACTACCATAAAAAGCTCGCAATGAAAACATCTTTCTAAACATGAAACACATGAAAAACATCACAGAACTTTTGAAGATTGGACTTGCCTAATTTCACTGTCCTTTTGTCTTTAAAGCATATGCTCAGAATAGTTTAAATAGTTTCATATTTTCCCTCTCCATAACTGCACTTCAAATATCAGTCCCCTAAAAGCTCATGTTTTTGTGCATGCATTTCTTTGTGAATTGGTCACTTTTGTGATATTATAACTGGTGTGCAAAGCTAAGAATTTCCTCGTGCCCATTAGAATGAGTAGGATAACATTCTACTGAAAAAAGACATCCAAAGCAAACCACCACAAATATTCACAAAGTATGATTTTGCCAATCAAGATTCACATTCAACTGCAAACTCTGTTTTCACCTACATGAAAAGAAAGCAAAACAAAGCACAGCGTAGTGTTAGGAAATGTTAGGAAACTGAGTTGATTCCATTAGTGAAATACTTTCTTAGATCTTTCTACGTAAAGACATTGTCATTACTAGACAAATAAAGAAAACACACAAAGGCCATTGAAAAGCAAGGCCTAGCACTCAGCTCACTGCTGTAAATACAGGTGTCCTAGTGCAAGTTTAGAACAAATGCACATGTAAAACATTTTAATCTTTCCTTCCAGAAAGAATCCAATTAGAACCCCAAGGTAATATCAAATTTACATATCATGTGCACTGGGTATTCAAGTATTTATCAAAAACAGTCTATTATAGGCCAATTACAAGGGGTAAATTTCCCATGTAAAACACAGCATAATAAATCAATTTTGCATGGACCACTGAGGAGATGTGCCTTTACTTTAATGGATTCTGCACCAATAACTCTGGCACATACATTATGATTTTATTTGCCAAAAATAATTTATAGAAGGAGATTAATGGCCAAATGACTGGAAAGGAACCACTGAAAATTACATAATGCCTTCAGAGCAYGATAAGGCTCATTTTTAGATTGCTAAGAGACAGTTTCTTGTGTTAGTCTATTTACTGACTCACAAAAAGGTACCAGAGTACTGCTTTCTTCCACTCACTAAAACTGGCGATGGAGAATCAACTGCACAAACATATGGACCTTCCTTTCCTTGGTAGAAGCTTCCAATACTTTCTACTTATTCTTTCAAAACACCACTGACTTTCATACATATTCTGGACATATGTTTCCCCCTTGATTCCTCATTTTTAATGACACATAGATGAGAAATGCACTGCAACACTGCTGTTGACTTACTTGCTTGGAAGTGTTTAAGTGGAAAAGTATCACATTATACTCACCTCTTAACATGTATTACCACTAAGCCATTCATGTTTTCATAAGTATACATTCACCTACAATAGTTACTCAGATCATAAGATGGAAGTGTGCTAAACAAAACTCAGGGCATAGCTTTTTATATACATAACTACAGTAAATTATTCTGTAATGGTATGAGCACCCCTCAGTCATTTCACTCTAAATCCTAAGGGATTATTTTAAGCAGTAACAAAACACAGCTACATTTTTCCATGGTGGCCCATGAGGCCCATTAGCTTTATTGAGCAGTGGAGTGGCCTCCTTGTTGTCCTGGAGAGTCACAGAGCAAGTCTATTAGCACAGGCATCTGACCACGTTACAGCAGAATTGTGCCAAAGAACACCAGAAAAACACCTTATCCCGATGCCCCTTTAGCTCATGCCACATGACTGACCTGAGACCAAGACAATCATCTGCAAAGCTTGTTGGTTCTTTTTGCAGTTTCCTCATCTTCCAGAGATGCATAAACAGTTGTCATCCACTGCCTCAGAGCTGGTCCCAAAAAGCATTGCAGTTGGGTGACAGCATTCTACCTGAAGAAAACATGAACTAAATAAGCAAATATAAGTGAAACAAATCCAATTTACTTGTTTTCCAGTCAGTGGTTTGCACCACAGGTGAAAATACATAAACAATTTTCTGTGTTTTCTTTCAAGGTTGAGAATACTTTCCTCCAAGTTAACTCTACCAGAATCAGGTTTATCCATATCATTAAATTTATCATTAGGTCAGTAGTCACTAAAAGTGTAGTGTAAAAAAAAAATGAAAATCACTGAAGTATAGCAAATTAATTGTTATCTAAAAAAGTCTAAGGAATGTTTTATCTATTGAAGGTTATTTTAACAGATTATCTTGTCATTTCTTTCTTTCACAATTTCCTAATATCCCTGTGGCAAATGTAGAGATTGCTGACATGGGAAAGTCAAGTAATTGAAAAATATTTAATGCATCTTAAACTATCAGTGTGATTTTCCAGATAGAATGACAGATTAATCAAGAACAAAACRAGTTACGGCTATGTAGAATATTTCTGTGTTAAATAATCAAGATTCACAAGCTTGTTGGAAAAGCACCGATTATAAAACTCCCCTTTACATTTCATCAAAGAGGATTTTTTAAACTACATATTGTCCTTCTACTKTCTATTTGTGGATAACAGAAAAGTATTTTTTCCTTGAAATAGACTTTACCTGTATTTYACATATTGAAATGGTTTAAAAATAACATTTGTTTTCAATACTAATCCTTCTTGAAGCACATTCTTCTGACCTTGCTTAATAATGTTTTCTTGCCAGTATCTGATGTCATGTTCAACTCTGGGATAGACGACATTGCAATATTATACACAACTCTAGCCAGTGTGTTGGTCCTATATTTCCTCTGAATCATCACAGAAGTCAAGTGAACCTTATTTCAGAAAAAGGAAGAAAATTTCTGAAACACAAAATAGAAGAGCACTGAACTGAAGCAAAGATCAGACTACAATAATACTTTAAACAATGCATTAGAAATTGAGAACAAATAATGATGACTTGTGACAAATTTTCATGGTGCATAGAACAATGCAGTAATTTTCAAGATACTCTCAGCAGATCTACAAAATCCACTTTAAATACTGCCAATGAAACACACYGAGTCCTCCGTGTTGGTTGGGCAAAGGGTACTCTGGAGAAGTTCCAAAGATCTGCAGCGACATTAATGTTCCTTCCAACAGCAGCTTGGTCAGGAACCTCTTAGTCTTGGATCCTTTATTTGTCTCCTAAGGCAGGCACATTCTCATTGCTCTATCCAATCTAATTTTAGTCATTTGATGCTCTATATATCAATTACTTTGCAAATATTTTATATTCCCTAGCTATCATTAAGGCTTTCTTGCTTTGCATAATTCTTCCTTACCATTATTGTTAGTGGAATACATTTTAATTATATTAGTTTTCCTCTTCATATAGAGTTTACCTGTAAATTCCTAAAGCAGTAGTTCAAGAGCACRCAGCATCCTGGTACTTCAAGTTCTATTCTACCTCAGCCTCTCCTGATCCATGATTCTCTCAGTTGTGACAGTTTGATTTCAAGTGACTCACCATCCAGCTGAATACAAAAACACCACTTCTTCCAATATAGCAGGACAAGCACACAGCAATAAAATTCTCTTCCATAGCCATCAGCTCAGCATATCCCTTTCTGAGGGCCATCCTAATCATCTGAGCTTCCCTTTAGAGAATTTCCTTAACCTCAAATCATTTCTAGATCCCCCCCACACCCACCTCTGGAGGGATGAAGGTCACAGTTTCTTTGTTTGACTCACCAGGTAGCAATATCAATAACCTCTCTTCACCTGCCCTCTTCCCCTCCATCCCCCCAAACATAAACCAAGCACACTGCCAAACATAAGGCAGTGTGGCAGCCTCACCTACTCACCAGCAGTGCTAGTTAGCCATGTGAATCACATATATATCTTTCTACTTTATTCCCATGCAAGCTTATCCTTTCCCTATCCTAAGGCCTGTTCACATGCCTTCTCAAGGACTTTCCCTTACCTGCCTCAAGTTATTCTCCTTGTCCAGAGACATCTTTGAGAGCTGCATTTTTGCTAATACAGTCCCACAGTTGAGCAGCAGGGCAACCTCTCCTCTGGCAGAGTTTATCATGCTGCATAAGCACTGCACTGAGTGCCTCCAACCACTCTAGGCATGAGACTCATTCCTGAACTCCTGTGAAGAAGGTCATACTTTAGAATAGACTTAGAAAGGTTAAATAGTCTCAAGTGTAGTTGCTAATTTTAAGAGCATAATTTTATTTGGACAAGCTAAAATATTTTCTATTCTTTCTGATTTTTCCTGATCTATAATCATCTATAATTGCTTTCCTGAATTTCTGTAATGTTTTTTGAGATGTTCCAAATGAAAAAAATACCAGATGCTGTTTGACTAAATGCTTATTTCATGATGATTGCATATAAAGGATCATCCAGGATGCATCACATCTAAAGGAAATTTTAGAAGACTATCTTGTAATTTGAATATGGCAAAGAAAGTAGATAGCTTTTAGAGGCAATTGAATCTGCCAACAGTTACACAAGGCCAAAAAAAAAAGGAGTCCTTTGAATTAAATGAAGCATGTAACTAGCTTTGAGGAGTTTCCATCTATAGTAGACTAACCAAGAAAAGTCTTCATCACAGGTTTTAGAGTTTGAATGGAAATTGTTACATGAGCTATGCACAGATTAACTTGAAAGGGATAAGTAGATTCAAATAAAATTCTCCAGAAGAGTATGGCTTCCTTGTATCTTAGCACTAGGAAGAATTGTGATAAGATAGAGAAAAGCATCTGAATATCTGAATAGTACCCATCCATGTGAACTAATGCAAATAACTTCTTATTTATCATGACAGAGCTACATGACCTGGACTTTAGTGACCAGACACAGATCAAACTGAGTGTGAAATTAATGCTGTTCTGCAGTCCAACTGCTAAATTTTCCTTCTAGCTGCTGAACAGCTGCTAAGAACATCTTCAGTCATTCAAAAGAGGCTTTCTGCAAGAAACCATACACTTCAGGTTATTTTAACTTAATAATTGAAAAATTGGCAAAATCCAGAAAAAAAACATCTGCAGACTGCTGTATTTCTCAGACATTTTATTCATAACAAGCCATGTGAACAAGCAAAACTTTACTTGTCTCACACCAGAGATACCATGCTTATTAATATAAATATCTCTAGGTCTATGCTATGACACTGTCAGACAGATTACTGTCAATGACTCACAGGTAATTAAAACCACTGGAAAATCAAAATGAAAGAGCATGCAACAGGTTTTCAGTAAATGTCAAATGTTTTTTGAATAAATTAAATACCCATAGCTTTATAGTCCAGTACAGAATTTCTACTGCTTTTCTCCTCTAAAATTTCTCTCCATACAGTCAAGCAGTTCTTCAAACAAGGCACTTGAGTTGTTAGAACACAGAGCAAGACAGGGCCAGTCAAGTAGCCTGTTTTGAGCTCTTGTATATCACATCATACAAATTCAGACAATTACTCTTCAAAATACTAACACACCCTAGTTTGCCATACACTCTAGTTAAAAAGAAGATCCTCACCAACTCCTGCACAAACTCACTAGTGCACTATGTTGGTTATCTGTTTTCCCTCATTATCAAGGTTTAAGACAGGAAAAACATGATTTGCAACTCAAGTCTTCAAGTACAATTCAGACCTTGCAATCTAAATTTTTCTACATTTCTCTTTATTTTTCCTCATACATAAGTATCAAAAAAGACTTCTAAAAAGATGTTAAGTGTTAATAAGTTTCACTACCAGTCTTTAAACCAGTCCAAAACTTAACCACTTCCCTTGCTAAGATACTATACTCTAGTTTAATTTTTTTTCCACTTGAACTTTGGTGTATTTGGTTGCCATTAAACCAAGTCATAAATATGCAATATTATATTTATAAACAAGGCTCCAAAATACACCAAATATGTATCACTAAGTAACAGTACCACAGCAATTATATGTATAGAAATACTTATACTCTGGTGCTTTTAAGCAAAAGTTACAAACACTTAACTGTTTAATGTCATTCAAACAAAGCTATAGACAGAAAAAATTGATTGAATTTGACACATCCATAGCTTCAAGTCTCTTGTGTTCTTTGAAGAGAGACATTTTTCAGGAGTAAAAGCTATCAAATAAGCATCAGTTTCCCCATCATTATTACTAGGTGAATTATACACCAATTTCTTGCCTTTCTAGTGATTAAATCATTGTTTTCATATTTTGCTAGTTTGAAGAAACTTAGTTATTCCAGTCATTCATCAGACATTTCAGTTTAATTGAATAGCTAACTACCATAAGGCTAATCAGATTTACTTTTCAATTCAATATTATGTTAAATGCTTCTTTGGGCAAATAAAATAAGCCTGAAGCCAAAGCATTTTATATATGAGGAAATTAAAAAAAAGCAATCATACAAGCTTCCTAAGCTGTTTCAAGCAGAGTTAAAAACAGTATTTCTTGCCATTTCTTGGCTGTCCAGAAAACATACTGCTTTTGTCCTTCATTGAAGAATTAACATAGATCATAGCACAGCAATTTTCAGCTACAAAATCCAAAATATATTGCTCTTGAAACAAGCCTTCTATAGTAATTCAACGGCTGTAGAACCTAAGGACAAGTGCCTGAAAGGATCTTTTCCCACTGAGTTGAGAGCACATCTCATTCTCTGAAGAATAATTTTGGAGAATTTGAAAGGAAGATTTTACAGAAATGCCCCTTCAGTAGTATTACTTCAGGTAGGAATTACCTTGATTCATTATATAAAACGCTTCCAAGACACAGTCTATCAAATGTGAGACCAGCACTTAGCATTTAACCTGTCATTTAGTTTTTCAGCTAATGGCATAGCTGAAACGTTCTGTAACTTCTAGATTATTAAATCTATTACCCCTCAGAGGCAACTTTAGAGCATACTAGGGGCGCCACTGAAAGCACTGTAGATAACACATGCAGTGCCTGCTATTCGCATCTGCTTCTCCAATTATTTTGGAAAGTAGTGAAATAAAAGCTAGGGGGTAAAGTATAAAATCCACACCAAAATTTTAAAGTTTAACTGTAAAGGGAACATTACAACTTGTCTCCTCCGTACACTATTCTTTGTTATTTTGATGTTACAAAAATCCAAATTCATCTCAAACCTCCTTTTCAATGAGTATTTTATTAGTTTGCAGCTTCCTGTTAAGCTGTTAGACTCCAAGAAAAAAAAAGATAAAGGGATAACTTCTGCTTTTCCCAAGAGAAAAAAAAAGATGGAACTGGTTTCCCACCTAGTGCAGCCTGAAAATCTGCATGATCGAGACACTAAYCAAGACCCACTGATTCATTTCAGAGTAATTGTTATTTCACTCTCATTCATGCAGCAATAAAATATCAGTCATGACTSACAAATACTTTGAGCTTGCATGACAACACAGGAGTAAAGCACTACCACATACTACCTTATTCACCTGAACAGGCTGAACTGTTGTGTCTTGGTGCAAGCAAATTTAAGGAACTGATAAYGCATCTTTCCTTTTCCCCCTCCGTGTGCCAGATGGTAGCAGTGGACAGGAACATGTGGCAAAAGCTGCACTTGGTTGCAGTGCATGAAGTGTGGCAGACAGTAGCTGTGCTCCCTGTGCAGCCCTAGGCACCACACACTGATCCATCTCTTGTCCGAGGCAAGCTTGCAGGGTTACGCAAGTTAGACTGAAAAACAGTCTAACTCGGACCCAGCTCAAGTGAACCAAGGAAAACCACAGCCACTTGGTCTAAAGTCTATGTAGACAACATTGAAATGTCGCAACATGACATTTCCTGGAAACACAAGGAAAGAAAAATGAAGCTGTAGAGAATAAATTGCAAGGGAAACAATTGACACTGCTTCCTTATGAGGATGCAATTCCACAGGCAAAACTCAGGGAAGGATGCAGGGACAGTGCTTTAAGCAAGCACGCTGGCATTCACATATGGGGAGAACGTGAAATGTGGCAAGAGATCCTCTGGGACCCAGAACCTATTTATGTACTTGGATCATAAACAAAAATCAATAGTCTAAGGTAGATACTGAATTTGCACCCATTGTCCAGAGTTTTTGAAAAGGAAAAATTCTTCCAGTCACATTTGTCTGTAACTGAATGATTTTTCTTCTACACAAAGGTGAATTTGTCTGGAGCAGTGACTTGAGGTTTCACTCAAATCTGAGAAGCTGAATAAAGGTAAAAGCCTCTCAGGCTTCAGAGAAAACGATTTCTTCATGGCCTTGCCGAAAAAGCACTGAGGGTAGACASAATTTGAATCATGTTGTGGCAAATGATTTTAGCAAAATCTTGATGAAACAAACAAATTGTCAGGCTAACAAGGTATCAGGAATAGCCATTCCTGATACAATTAATACTTCTGTTAGCAGAACTCACTGGCAACCTGGCTGGCATAAGACATATGCAAACAAGCAAGCAAGGTTAAGAGAGAATCACAATGATTCTCTCAATGTCACATTCATTGCTAAATTTCAGAGAACAGGTAATCAAATAGTCCTTAAATATAGGGCTGAGGAAGGGTAGATATTCTTCTGGCTACTCTGGGGAGCYTAGCAAGGGAGTGGCAGATGCAACCTTTAAAATATAGCTTAAACCTTTTGCTACAGCACTAAATTACACAGACAGGTCTTTCTAGCCCACTGGAATCACTGTTTGTTTCATTACTTTTGATCCTGAGGTAAGCTGTTGAGAAGTAATCAGTGTCATTGACCCTTATTTGATTAACTCTATTCTGCAGTGGTCTCTGGGGTTAATACCAGTTTTATTACCTTTTTACTGGATAGCTTTATTGAATGTCATGGAGCACAGCACTAAATACAGCCACCAACTGAAAGAAATAGCACCTGCAATAGCCTATATAGAAGCAGAACTCCAGGGTATTTTGTAGAAACTGCTTATATTTCTTACATTTTAGGGGAAAATACCTAGAACATCTTGTTACCTTATTGAGAGAGTTTTGTTCAAGCCAAACAATGAGCCAACTCTATGTGTTTAAGGTCAATCACAAGAACATACTGTGCTGTTCAGTAAGCTGCACCACTGCTCGATTTTTTTTCCAATACAAATTAATATATTTAATGTAAATTAATTTTATTTCATA